AGTGGGACCGGTGAGACAGTGACGGTGAGAGTGGGGACGGTGAGGCAGTGATGGTGAGAGTGGGGGCAGTGAGGCAGTGACGGTGAGAGCGGGGCCAGTGAGACTGTGACGGTGAGAGTGGGGACGGTGAGGCAGTGATGGTGAGAGTGGGGGCAGTGAGGCAGTGACAGTGAGAGCGGGGACAGTGAGGCAATGATGGTGAGAGTGGGACCGGTGAGGCAGTGACAGTGAGAGCGGGGACGGTGAGGCAATGATGGTGAGAGTGGGACCGGTGAGACAGTGACGGTGAGAGTGGGGACGGTGAGGCAGTGATGGTGAGAGTGGGGGCAGTGAGGCAGTGACGGTGAGAGCGGGGCCAGTGAGACTGTGACGGTGAGAGTGGGGCTGGTGATACAGTATCAGTGAGAGTGGGGACGATGAGGCAGCGACGGTGAGAGTGGGGACGGTGAGTCAGTGACGGTGAGGCAGTGATGGTGAGAGCGGGGCCAGTGAGGCAGTGACGGTGAGAGCAGGGCCAGTGAGGCAGTGACGGTGAGACAGTGATGGTGAGGCAGTGACGGTGAGAGTGGGGCCGGTGAGAGGGTGATGGTGAGAGTAGGGTAGGTGAGGCAGTGACGGTGAGAACGGGGATGGTGAGGCAGTACGGTGAGAGCGGGTTGGTGAGAGCGGGGATGGTGAGGCAGTGATGGTGAGAGCGGGACCAGTGAGGCAGTGACGGTGAGAGCGGGGCCGGTGAGGCAGTGATGGTGAGAGCGGGGACAGTGAGACAGTGAGAATGGGCCCGGTGGGGCAGTGACTGTGAGAGCGGGGCCAGTGAGGCAGTGACAGTGAGAGCGATGACGGTGAGGCAGTGACGATGAGGGCGGGGACGGTGAGGCAGTGACGGTGAGTGCGGGGCCGGTGAGGCAGTGACGGTGAGAGCGGGGCAGTGACGGTGAGACCGGAGACGGTGAGACAGGGACGGTGAGGCAGTGACGGTGAGAGTGGGGACGGTGAGGCAGTGACGGTGAGAGTGGGGACAGTGAGGCAGTGACTGTGAGAGTGGGGACGGTGAGACAGTGACGGTGAGAGTGGGGCCAGTGAGGCAGTGACGGTGAGAATGGGGCCGGTGAGGCAGTGATGCTGAGAGCGGGGACGGTGTGACAGGGACGGTGAGGCAGTGACGGTGAGAGTGGGGCAGTGACGGTGAGAGCAGAGACGGTGAGACAGGGACGGTGAGGCAGTGACGGTGAGAGTGGGGACGGTGAGGCAGTGATGGTAAGAGCAGGGCCAGTGAGAGAGTGACGGTGAGAGAGTGACGGTGAGAGTGGGGACGGTGAGGCAGACCAGAGGGGCATGGCGAATGTTGGAAAGCCTGGAGTGGGACTGCAGCAGTGGAAAGGAATGTTGGACTCTCTTAAGTTATTTTTTAATTCTTGTCTTATTCTAAGTTAATATGAAAGGTGCCATGTATATACAGCAAAGGTTCTCACTTTTCACTGCATTTTTACATTGTACATTTGTGACAATAAATGATTGAATCAATGTTGGCTATTCTCCAGTCCTCTCAGAGTTCTCCTGTGACCAAAGCCGAAATAAAGTTTTCATAGAAGGCCATGGCCTTCTTCAGAATTCTGGGATAGATCCCATCAGGTCGTGGGGATTTCTCTGCTTTAATGCTTTCCAAAACACCCAACACTTCTGCCTTTTTCTATATCAACATGCCCTAGAATATCAACATACCACTTCCTCATGCACCATGTGCTTCTCCTTTGTGAATATGCACTGCAAAGTATTCACTAATGACCTCACCCAAATCCTCCTGCTCCAAGCATAAATTCTCTCCTGTGTTGGTGAGTGGACCTACCCTTTCCCTAGTTACTGTCTTTCTCTTTATACATGTATACCAAGCCTAAGGATTTTCCTTAATCCTGTTTACCAACATTATTTCTTGCCACATTTTAGCCCTTCTCTGTTGTGTTTTGAGTTCTTTCCTGCTTTCTTTATATTCTTCGGTTTCCTAAATCTTATGTATGCTTTCTTTACTTTCTGACTAAGCTCACAATTTCTCTCGTCGTTCAAGGTTCCCGAATTGTGCCACCCTTGTCCTTTACTTTCACAGGAACATACTGGTCCTGAACTCAAATTAAACTGGCCTTTAAAAGATTCCCACATACTACATGTGGATTTACCCTCAAATAGCTGCCGCCAATCTACATTCCCCAGTTTCTGCCCAATATTGTGTAGTTAGACTTTCCCTAATTTAGTATTTTCACCCAAGGATTATTCTTATCCATATCCATAAGTAACTTAAAATTTATGGGTTTATGGTCACTGTTCCAAAAATGCTTCCCCACTGAAAATTCAGTCACATAACTGGACTCATTCCCTCTTTCGACTATTTACATATTTCTTCAAGAAATCCTCCTGGACACACCTAATAAATCTCCTAGATATCCTACTGATACCTGCCTGCCTCACACGTCATGTCAACACATCTTTTCCAAACCATCCTATTAAAACCCATTTCTCCTCCCATCCTAATGACACCTGCCTTTCCCTACAAATTGTACCAGCACCCTTATACTCCCCCCACCCCCAACCCCCGATATTATATGATACTCATTTGTACTGCCCATCCTACAAAGACCTATCTGAGATCCATTGTCCAATGATGCACATCTTCTACATACCCTCTCCTAAACTCAACACAAGGTCTAATCTACATCTTTATGCTCCTTGCCCACACCCCTCATCCTAGCAATACCTGTCAGCTCTCCCTGTTTATCACCTACCAAAACTCATCAATTCATACACCCCATTACATATCACTGCCACCCTCTGTCCTTCCAACATTAATATGCCTTCCCACTTCACTGTCTTCCTACTAATAGACATTTGGCCCAATGTATCGTTCAGATCCACACTGCAGTAATGCATCAAACACACTTTAGGAATGATGTAAGGGCCCATGAGAATCTGCACAGAAGGCATTTTGGAATGGTTCCAGAGATGGGAGATTTCAGCTATCTGGTTAGGGAGGAAAAATTAGGCTTATCCCCTTTGATACGCAAGGAGTGAAACATTGTTGTGAGTATGAGGGAATGTAGAATAATCAGATTTGCTATTATTCTGCTGAATGGTAAAGTTTAAGGGGCCAAGTGGCCTACTCCTGCTCCTAATCTGTATGCTCATGTCTTGGAGCACAGGAGATTGAGATGAGATTTAATGTAGGTGCACAAGATTATGACAGGTTCAGATCAGATAGACAAAGTAAAGCTATTCCCGTTCTCTGATGGTACAATTTATGGGACTCCTTCTGTACCCAAATGATTCCTCCCAACATGCATGGTCCCATCATTTCATTTGGTGTCAAGCTTGATTTCAGCATTCAGCTACAGGCACTCACCTTACATTCTGATATTGGTGAACATAGATTTTGTGGAATGCCCCTTGCTTTTCTGCTGCATCAGACATGTCATTAATGATCTCCAGCACCATGAAACGTGGTAACACCGAGAGAACCAGCCTCTCCTGTTCAAAAGTGAAACAAGTAAAAATTATTTTTAGGTGAGAATCAGGTAGGGATACTGGAACCCACTTTTCCTTTCTTTGAGACAGAAAGCAGGATGGCTGAGGTGTCTTAGGAACTGAACACCTCCAGGACGAGAACACTCAATGACCAGGAGTAGAACAGCAGAAGGTGGTGTTTATTAAAGTTGAAAAAGCAGAAGAGGCAGACAACAAAAGATGCTTAGAGAAGGTTTAGGAAACAAGGAACGGAAAAGGGTCTAGAGGGATATAAGTTATCCTGGAAGGAGCTGAAGAAAGGGCTTGGGAGAGCTATAAGGGGGCATGAGAAAACCTTGGCAGATAGGATCAAGGAAAACCCCAAGGCTTTTTACATGTATGTGAGGAATAAGAGAATGACCAGAGAAAGGGTAGGGCCGATCAAGGATTGTAAAGGGAATTTGTGCACAGAGCCTAAAGAGATAGGAGAGGTCCTTAATGAATACTTTTCTTCGGTATTCACAACTCAGAGGGACCTAGCTGTAGGGGAGGACAGTGTGAAACAGGCAGATAGGCTAGAGGAGGTCAATGTTAGTAAGGAAGATGTGCTAGGAATTTTGAGGAAGTTGAAGATAGATAAGTCCCCCGGGCCTGATGGGATTTATCCAAGGATTCTATGGGAAGCGAGGGAAGAGATCGCAGAGCCTTTGGCGATGATCTTTTCATACTCACTGTCCACGGGTATAATGCCGGAAGATTGGAGACAGGCAAACATCATTTCCTCGTTCAAAAAAGGGAATAGGGATAACCCTGGAAATTACAGGCCAATTAGTATTACTTCAGTGGTGGGCAAATTATTGGAAAGGGCTCTGAGAGACAGGATTTATGATCACTTGGAAAAGCACAGTTTGATTCATGATAGCCAGTATGGATTTGTGAGGGGTAGATCATGCCTCACAAATCCTATTGAATTCCTTGAAGAGGTGACCAAACACATGGATGAAGGTAGAGCAGTGGATGTGGTATACATGGATATAAGTAAGGTGTTTGATAATGTTCCCCATGGTAGGCTCATGCAGAAGGGAAGGAGGCATGGGATTGGGGGAAATGTGGCAGATTGGATTCAGAATTGGCTGACCCTTAGAAGACAAAGGGTGGTAGTGGACAGAAAATATTCAACATGGTGCTCAGTTGCGAGTGGTGTACCACAAGGATCTGTTCTGGGTCCTCTTCTATTTGTGATTTTTGTAAATTATTTGGATGAAGGAGTGGAAGGGTGCATTAGTAAGTTCGCGGATGATACGAAGGTGGGTCGCGTTGTGGACAGTGCGGAGGGCTGTTCTCGGTTACAAAGGGACATTGATAGGATGCAGAGCTGGGCTGAGAAGTGGCAGATGGAGTTTAACCCTGAAAGAGTGAGGTGATTCATTTTGGAAGTACAAATTTGAAAGCAGAATACAGGGTTAATGGAAAGATTCTTGGCGGTGTGGAGGAGCAGAGGGATCTTGGGGTCCATGTCCACAGTTCCCTGAAAGCTGCCACCCAGGTGGATAGAGTTGTTAAGAAGGCATATGGTGCGTTAACTTTCATTAATAGAGAGATTGAGTTCAAGAGCCGTGAAGTTAAGTTATGCTCCAGCTATACAAAAGCCCGGTTCGGCCACATCTAAAGTATTGTGTCCAGTTCTGGTCGCCTCACTACAGGAAAGATGTGGAAGCATTGGAAAAGGTACAGAGGAGATTTACCAGAATGTTGCCTGGAATGGAGGGAAGGTCTTACGAAGAAAGGTTGAGAGAGCTAAGGCTTTTCTCTTTAGAACAACGAAGGAAAAGGTGGCACGGTGGATCAGTGGTTAGCACTGCTGCCTCACAGCGCCAGGGATCCAGGTTTGATTCTATCCTCGGGCGACTGTCTGTGTGGAGTTTGCACATTCTCCCCATGTCTGCGTGGGTTTTCTCCGGATGCTCCGGTTTCCTCCCACAGTCCAAAGATGTGCAGGTTAGGGTGGATTGGCCATGCTAAATTGCCCATAGTGTTCAGGGATGTGCAGATTACATGGGTTTTCAGGGGATGGGTCTGGTTGGGATTCTCTGAGTGTTGGTGTGGGCTTGTTGGGCCGAAGGGCCTGTTTCCACACTGTAGGGATTCTATGATAAGAGGTGACTTGATAGAGGTGTACAAAATGATCAGAGGTATAGATAGAGTGGACAGCCAGAGACCAGAAATAGGAAGACAATACAGCTAAATACATGGCTAAAGAGCTTGTGTAGGAGAGAGGGATATTGATATCTGTATCATCAGAATCTCTTGAAGGGCAGGTGGGACCTGTACAAGAAGGACAGATTGCTCTTAAACTGGAGGGACACCAATATCCTTGCAGGAAAGTTTATTCGTGCCACTTGAGAAGGTTGAAACCAGTATCGCAGGAGTGTGGGAACTGGAACAGCAGGGCAGCATATGAGGAGAATGTAGAGGTTAATAGGTTGAAAAAGCAGAGCCAGTTTAATGAACAAGGCATGACTATAAAAAGTGTATTGAGTAAGACAGGAGGGAGAAATAAATAAAAAGATGCTGATGGACAGGATAGAGCATACAGACAAAATCAGAGTTCTTTATACAAATGCACAGAGTGTAAGGAACAAATACATTGATTCAAATTGGAGACTATGACATGATATAGCCATTATAGAGACATGATGATCAGGATGGTCAGGACTGGGAACTGAACATATCAGGTGATAAGGTTCACAGGAGGGATAGTCAAAACAGCAGATGGGGTGGAGTAGTAGTGCTGATTAAAAACAAAATCACTCTATGAGAGAGGATGTAATGAGGGGAATGGACCAAGTGGGGACCTCATGGATGGAACTGAGAAACAATAAAGGAACTAAAACCACAATAGGTGTCATAGGTAGACCACCTGGTAACAGCTCAGAAGTACTAGATTATATTAAGGCTGAAATTAGGCAACAACATAGCAAAGGTAGAACAGGTGGATTTCAATCTTAACATTGACTGAGATAGACAGACAAGCACCTGCCAGAAGGTTGTGAATTTCTAGAGTGTGTCTGGGATAGTTTCGTTCAGTAATATGTCTTGGATGTGACATGGGGACAAGCAATATTGGATCTGGTAATGAGCAATGAGCCTGATTTAATTAGTGTCCTAGTTGTTCGTAAGCACTTCTCAAATAGTGATCATAACATGATCAAGTTTCACGTAGTGTTTATAAGAGATAAGTAAAGATCAGATACTAAAATTTTGAATTTAAGTCAGGCAGACTTTAATGGAATGAGGCAGAGATTATCCACAGTAAACTGGGAAGCTCTGTTATAGGTAAAACAATCAAGGAACACTGGAGAGTGTTCAAAGAAACATTTAATGCTGTTCAGAAGCAGTTTGTACCCATGAGAAGGAAAAGCTTCACCTCACCAAAAAATGCCATTGTACATATAATTAGGTAAGGGACTGCATAATTTTACTTTAACAAAGAAAGAGCTTATAAAATGCCAAGAACAGTCCAGATCCCACAGAATGAGACAAATGCAAAGACCAACAAAGGGCCACAAAATAGGTTATAAAACTGGTTGAAAAGAATTCTGGAAGGAAACTTGCAAAAGACATAAAGGACAATAAGAAGAGATTTTATGGTTATATTAAGGAAAATGGCTGGCTAACAGTACTATTGACCCACTGAAGGCTGCGAAAGGGGATATTGTCAATGACCATGGGGAAATGGCAGACATGCTGAACGATTATAATGCTTCAATATACATAGCAGAAAAGGAGGAGAGCTTGCCTGATGTCCTGAAGAAATTAACAGAGGATCATGGACAGAGTCTAAATAAAATTAGCTGAAGTAAATCAACAATAGTGGGAAATTAATGGAACTGAAGAGTGACAAATCCCTAGAACTAATTTTTTCCATCCACTGGTGTTAAAGAGGTAGGACAGCACATGTCAATGCCCTAACCATAATTTTTCATAGCTCCCTGCATTCAGGAGTTGTAGCTCTGGAATGGAAATTTATACATGTCACTTTCCTCTTTAAGAAGGGTAACAGAGGGAAGCTAAGGACTTATAGACCAGTTAGATTAACATCTGTGATGGGGAAATTGTTGTGGTCTGCAATGAAGGATTGGGTAAATGATCACTTCAAAAAATTTGGTTAATCAGAGAGAGTCAGCATGGATTCAATAAGGGTAAGGCATGCCTGACAAACCTCATAGAGGTTTTTGAAGAGTGACAAAGGTGGTGGACAGAAGTAAGTCAAGGGATATTTTTTATTTGGGCTTTTAGAAAGCTTTTGATAAAGTCCCAAACAAGAGACTGCTAGCCAACATGGAAGCCCATAGAATTGAGGGCAAGTTACTGACATGGATAGAAAACAGAGAGTTTGAATAATGGATAAGTATTCAAACTGGCAAGGTATAACTAGTAGGGATCTGTGTTGGGGCCTCAGCTCTTCACAATACTTATTAATGACACAAAATTGGCCAGCATTGTAGACAGTGTCGATGAAAGCATAAAATTACAGCAGGAAATTGATAGATTAGGTTTTATTTTTACTTTGATTTTATTGTCACGTGTACCAAAATACAGTGAAAAGTTTTGTTTATGAGTGGTACAGGCAGATCACAGCAAGCAAAGGATGTACAGATCAAAGGCATACAGGATTACATTGCAGGTTACATTATTTGAGGTTAGAGTCCGTTGAACAGTCTGATAATGGCCCGAAAGAAGCTGTTCCTGAAGCTGCTCGTGCGTGTGTTCAGGCTTCTGTATCTTTTGCCTGACGGAAGAGGTTGTAGGAGACCATTACCAGGGTGGGATGGGTCTTTGACGATGTTCAAGTCTCTGGTGATGATGTGAATAGACAAAGCTGTGGCAGATGGATTTTAATATAAATAAGTGCAAGGTTATCCATTTTGGACCAAAAAATGACAGGATCTGGGTATTATTTATATAGCACCAAGTTAAATACAGTGGATGCTCAACGAGATTTGGGGATTCAGGTGCACATC